TCAGCATGATAACTCACTGCACATGTTGACATGCAGCTGTTTGTCAGCTAATGTTTTGATTTCCATATTGTTTCACATTAACTAAGCATTTTCTATCTTTATATTTAGCAACTAGTTTCATCGACTATTACGTTATTGCATCTTACACTCCACTAACCCTCTAGATAATGTTTATGTAGAAAACCAGGTCAAGTAGGTATAGTAACAATGACTTTTTTTATCTTGAAAATGTTTTCTGAATATATTTTAACACAGAAAGAGTAAGTACAAACATACAACATTTATATTTCAGTGACATTTTTAAGTTAAATCCCAGACACTATGAGGGAAGCATATAATCATTAAAATGGTGATAAGAATATCATAGATTTATACAAGTAAAATATACATTTTGTTACTTTCAAAATAATTGCATTTACCAATATGATCAAAAGAAAAATGTTGATAATGCATATAAGTTAGGAAAAGTAGGAAAATTACATAATTAATTTTCCTAAATGTCCTACTTTTCCTACTCACTACAAATTAGTCTTAGAATTTGATAATGAATATCTGGGTACTAAATATCTCTTGTTATTTTTTAAAACTCTTTGTTCAAGTCCTGTGTACGAAAAGTGTAGTGATATTTGATTATTTTAATATTCGGAAATAAATCAGTCATTTTAATAATCTATTAGTAGTAACAGGAATTATGTTTATCACAACAAAGGTTCTCTTTAAATTCCCCAGCCTGTAGCATTTATAATCTGCTCAAGAATGAACACTTGTATTAAAAAGTTAAATAATGATGAGGGCTCTGAAATTCTAAAATAAAAAAATCTGAGTTAAGATTCAATCCACCAATCTATCCACCACTCATTGATTAAACTGAAAGATTTATAAACAACTAAATAAAAAAACTTCACTGTAACCTTTACGATTCAAAATTAACTAGAAAAGCACACAGTGCAGACATCCACTAAGCAGCAAATTTAGCCCGATATGTTGTGACTAACACCTCTAGCTAAAAGTCAAGCATGATATGGATCATTACCAAATTTAAATTAATTGTTCCTTTGGCATGAGGCCTCTGGTAAATATGTTATTAAAATCATATTTACCTTTCAACCACTTTATGTAATCTTTCTAAAATACCAACAAGACCTCCTTTTCTTGTGTCTGCATTTATTTCTTCAGCATAGATGTAATTTTGTGGGGGAAATGTCACCTGCACCTTTTTCAACTTCCATTTTAGTCCACTGCAGGTTTTATTGTCTGAAAACAATGTTACGCGACAGTACACCAACATTTGTTGAGCACTAGGACCAAGCGGAAAACCACAGCTCAAGCTGAAAATTCCAATATCCAGATCATCATCTGGATATTGGAATATATATTTGTCAGATTATGATCAGGCTTATGATCTGGATCATCACCAATATTTAATGGATTGTTCATTTGGTTCAAATATCAGTATAATCCATTCATAACTTTTCAAGAAATCCTGCTAGCTGACAAAACAACAAACACAACCAAACACATAACATCCTCGGCTGAGGTTCAAAGGATAAAGAACCGCAAAACCTTAACACATATAGAAGTCATAATTAAATTATATAATTCATGGGGATTCTTGTGCCCTGGTTAAGACCCTCGTCAAGACTATACACTGCCTCGCTTTGTCACTTAGTCAGACCATGCCCCGTCCTTTACCTCAATTCTAAATATGCTACAGAAACTAAAGACATTGAGTTTGGGGGGACCCTAATAAACCAGCACTGCAGTTTTAGTTTAAAAAGGAAACTTAAAATGAGTCAGGTTATTTTCACACAGTGCGATTAACACAGTAGGTAAAGAAATAAGTAATATTTTACAGCAGATTTAGATAAAATGTATTCTAATTTGAATCGTGATATAAACATCTTCACACAGGCACGCTTTCTAATCTATAGTGTCTTGAGGTCACTAACGTCAGCTTAGTGGAAGGGTTGTCTTTTCTAATGGAATCAAATGGTTTTTCAGATGGTGAAACTGTGAGTTATGGAAATATAGCTGTGGGCTAACTTAACTGCTGTGATGTGTGGTTTTATTGAGGAGAAAGCTGCAATGGTGCTGGAAGCATAAAAATGCATGCTGAACTTTATTATTTATAGATCACTTATTTTTGTTCATTTTCCATCACCTCTAATTTCACGGCCTGTTTCGTTTTTATTTGTAATAAAGTGTTTTCATGCAGAACTCCCTCTAGAAATACCTCTTAAAGGTTTGGTCATTTAGACATGAGTTACAACAAGCAATCGCAATATGGTCGCATAATGTAAAACCAGGTTATGAAATTAAATGTAATGCTTTAGTCTCATAGTAAGCCTGTTAAGGAATAATGTCTATATGTTTCTGCTACCAAGAGCCTAACCAAAACAATTATTCTGATGTGTACATTAAAATTTGCATAATGCATGGCTCTAGAGACTTAGGAATGAAAGTTACAGTATTGAATTTTCATAGAGAAAAAAGAGAGGGTTTTGATGAGGAATGTATTTGAACTGATTCAGAGCCTGTTGCTATGGTTGCCATGTGCAAGAAATCAGTGGCATGAATTCCCTTCAGAGATGCCTTCAGCACCCTGCCGACTAAGGTAGACCAGGACAGAATATGAATGAGTCATGGGGTCCTAGAAAGCTCCCTGAGGTAAGAAGAATTCTGCCCGTGGTTAGATGTTGTTTTCTTCTGTTTCTTTTATAGGAACCCTACGTTAATTCCTGAAAACGCAGTGATTCAGTGACCTGTTAAATCCTGCAAAAGAACTGAAAAATCTTTTCACATGCCTTTATGTCATTTCAGATTAGCAGCTCACCCAACATGGATACCTTTCAACCTTAGACTAACTAGGAATACTTAAAAAGAGACACTAGAGCTTACAGACACATTGCACACATTCAAGGTGTCCATGTTGCAGAAATATTGCTCGCTTATACATGAAGAGCATTAAGAGCTGTTTCTTAGACTAGAGTAGGAAGAATAGATGTTTAATTTTGTTTATCATGTATAATATCATAGCCTTTTGAGTGACAGTTTTGAATAACATCTGAATGGAAACCTCCATCTCCAACAGGATTATTTGGCTTTTTTTTTTTAACCTCAGCTATGTAGCAATGGCAGGTTCAACTGGTTTACCTATTCTTTTCCAGATTTTCTTCAAAAGAATATAGTTTGGTAGCAGTTTTCTTTCTATTTATTCTTTCTTAATGTTCTGATGAAGATTCTCAGTCATCCAGGTCATAGTCATTCCGTAAAAGTAAAAAAAAAAAAAATCCACTGGACTTGGTTTCCAAGATTTGAAGACGTTTCGCTTCCCCTCCAGGAAGCTTTCTCAATTCAAATACGACACACTCCTCGGTTTCAATCTGCATGTTTCCAAGCAATACAAGGCCCTGTCTATATAAACACTCAAACTCACTGCGGATCCAGACATTTGAATTGAGAAAACTTCCTGGAGGGAAAGAGAAACGTCTTCAAATCTTGGAAACCAAGTCCAGTTGATTGTTTTTTTTTTGTTGTTTTTTTTTTTTTACTTTTACGGAATCACTTTCTTAATGCTCTTTTATAATTGTTATTTCCTATTTACATTACAGTAAGTACTAAACTTACCGTACATAGACTTGCATTGCCCGGAAGGAAAGGTCTTACTTGGACGTTCTTTTTGCCTGTAACTGATTCGTTTTGAATCCCTTCATTATTTTGTTTCTGTCTAAAGCTTTTTAAGCAGTAAACCTACATGCATGGATGTCTGCAATGACAGCAAAAGTGTAATTCAGTGGTTTGTCACTTAGGTTTGATATCTTCTCACCTTATATTAACATTAATACAGTGAATATTACCCCACACTGAATAATTTGTTTTCATACATTTAAAGAGTTTCATGAAAATCTCAATTTTTTTGTTTTCAATTAATCATTTTCTTTGTTTATATCTATATTTATATCTTATTATCTCCACTCATAGAATAGTAAGTGGAGATGCAATGAGAAACCACTTGTCATCATCAAGAGTGGATGATGCGAAGTTTCTGTTATGTTGCTGCAATGTTCTGTCAACTGATTTTTTTTTTTAAATAAAAGTCAAAATTAGAACATAAGAAGCAAAGGTTGTTGTGGTTTTTAACCCACTAGTAGGTATTTTAATGGGATAATGCACCAAAACGTGACCAACACACAAATGATACCAGCCTTCTTCCATAGACGTCAAACCTAAATCCTTCTGAAGACTGTGTATTAAGGTAAAGAGAAAGGAGCAGTAGAGAGAATCAAAACCAGAACTTAAGATATTTTACAAAGATCCATTTTTTATATACTCGAAAGGATAAAACTACTGTGGGGTACTGCCTCCAAACAGGTTCTTTTGGAAGTTCCAGACTGCTTTGGAACCAACAAGTCTTCTTTTTTTTTTTTTAAAACAAACACCTCTTTGGTGGGCTTTCCCCACCTATTATCAAATATTTTCTAGAAAAAAAAAATAAAAACAATAAGCCAATGCAATAAAACATTCCAAGAAGAGATGCATTGATCCAGTACCTGTATCTTATATTGGCTCAGATATTGACTGATGGCTGGAGCGGATATGCAGGATTTAATATGGGATATTTCAGATCCAATCTAGTGCACTTCACATGGAACTGTTGTTTTTGTTGTCTTTTTGCAACTGTTAATACATAATTTAAATGAAATTATTTCAGGGTTTATTTGTTACCTTTATTAACAATATTTATGTCAAGGCTAAAGCCTTCAGTCATGTCACAAGATATATGGTTCATTCATTCAACAGTTAAATTGATATTGGTATTGGATAATGGCCAGTACACTCAGCCCAGCTATCGGTGTTGGACTGGATTGGATCAGTGCATCTCTGATTCCAAGCATTTACTGCTATTTTTTCTTTAACCAGTTTATAACTATAGTATGCATGAGCTCAACTACCCTTTATCTTGTCTTTTTTTACTAAACGAGAGAGGTAACAGCAAAACATGAAAGTAATCCTCTTTTTAATTGCAGGCATTTTAAAAGTAAACTGTACACATTTTCTACAATACTGGTATTTTACCTTTCAAATACGTATGAATTATAATAGATAGTTTAAGGTTTTGATAGATGTATAACTGTCTTCTTATCACAGCCAAAGCAGAAATGAATTAATAATGCACAAATAAAAAAATAAAGCAAAACATATATCCTCCTAATGAAACAGAAATGAGGACAGGTACAGTTATTTTACCACTACATCCCTTTGATTTTATCATTTCAACATTTTCATAAAAGGCTGCTATTAATTTGTTTGCCCCTCACTTAAACAAAGAAATACAATTTACCACTTTGCTTCCCTAATTATGCATCCCTTTTGCAAAATGTAATGGAGGTTTGTCAAACTAAATGAGGTGTTATTATTAAAATTGGGTACAGGAGGAAAAAAAAAAAATCCGTTTTTGATAATGATAAAACAAAACATAAACAGATCTGCACAGAAAAATTTTAAGAAAAATATGTCCAACACATTTCGTATACAGTAAGCATTACCTTGCCATTTGGGATAAACCAGTTAAAGGTTACAGTCCGAACTGGTTGCATGCATGTAAATGAGGACCGATAGCCTAATGACTGATCGTTAAGGCTTGTGGTTCCCAAAAGGCGGAGTCAGCTAAGCAATAACAGCATTGTAAGAGAGGAACTGTTTGACTTGAAGGCATCCACTCCTGTTGATGATGAGTGGTTTCTCATTGCCAAAAAATGCATCTTTTCCTACTCTCTCAAACCAGCATTCCCCCTAATTCACCTTGAAAGAGAAACAGCTAGCCTGTTTAGTGTGTTAAGGCCTGAACACACCAGACATGATCTTTGAAGTGATCCAGTCTGTTTTTTTATTATGTTTAAAGCCACTGGGATATCATATTTAGAAAATAAACAACCCAAGTTTTTTAGGAATTCCCTGCTACATATGGAATATCCACTGATCTAGGTGTTGGTTTGAGTTCTACTGTTTCCTAAAGAATGTTGTTTTAAATGTCATGAAAGTAGTCAATGTCACAGAGCTATGCCTGCTCTCAATCAAAATACAAAGCAGATGCCCCACTTGACAACCAACCACCAAAATGCAGCTTAGGTCAGACAAAAACATACCCAGTATCTATCCCAGTTGGAGCTACGCAAGCAAAGTCGCAGAGAATTGTGTTCAGTCTGACCAGAACCTTGCATTTTAAATGAACTAAGTACCATGGAGTCAAGGAGTACCATGATCTCCTACGATCGGATTTTCCATCAGATCGGACCCTAAATCTTATCTGCTGTGTTCAAGCTTTTACACTCATCTATTGACCAGCTGTCACTCTTCCTAGGGTGAAAATATTCTAAACCGGATTAGGGAGGAATTCAGGTTTGAGAAAGGATTGAAGGAAGTCATTTTTGTCACAATAAAAGATCCTTTAATAACATGTCTGTTTAAATTCTTAGTTATCTAAATCATGGCAGCTACAAAGAAGATTTACACTGGAGAAAACCATATTCAAGTCGCTCAGTTTTTCCAAAGGCAGTCTATAATTGGAGCTTTGATTTTTTAAGAAACATGGACGTCCATCCTCTTAAGCACCTTTCATGTCGCAGCAAGTCGATGACCCACCACTCATTTTCCTGGGTTGTTGAAATCTTTGTTGTGTACAGCTTATGAATTCACTCATTTGATTCATGAATGTGTATATGTAATTTCTTTAGAATGAGTTTCAGAACTCATTCCAAAAACTAAGCCTGTTTTGTGGTATCCATCATTTAACGAGCGGAGACCTTTAGGTCCAACTTTCCCCACTCTTACCTCTGAATTCCACATCCTCCCTGTTTGCACCACTCCACTTGCATCCTTCTCACAGAGCAGCTACAGCTACATTGTAATAATCAATGACAACAGCTCAACACGTTAATGTCCACGGGCGTGCTAGCCTTCCACTGTGTGAATACAAAGTTCAGCCCCGGCCTACTTGGCTCCAGCAAGATCTCCGTTGCATGCTCTCTTCGGACTTCGGAGCTAGAAGCTTTGTTTTCACGGATGTGCAGAGGTGGTCTGCAGCTGGTCTGACATGGACAGGAACTGAATGTGGAGTTCCAATGCTGGTATTGAGAGAATGACTCATCTCTCAGGGAACAACAAGTGGTCAGTAGAGCCCCAACAATTGGTCATTTGGCTTTTATTTTCATGAGAGCAACCCTTATAAAGAACCTTTCCAGAAGAATTACTCAAATTTTGGAGATTTAAGACAAATGCACAATATGCACAACCATGTCAATTGATTAACTCTTCATCAATAGTGGTGGTATAAACAGATAATACAAACCAACTGTCCATGGATAACACCATTTATTATCTATTGTAACATATACAAGTCCATAAATATTTTTTGTAGGAGGGCATATTTGCATTCGAAACACGCCTTAAAATACCCTATTTATTTTGCAATTTACTGTTAATGCAAGATATATACATACACTGTATAAAACATCACAGAGAATTTCTTTTCTCATTGTCAAATATGAAATCAGACTAAATCTTATCTACTTTGTTAGACAGGATTACCCAAACAGATTTTATTTTCTAAATGCCATGATGATGAGAGGATGTTTTTATATCTTTTACAAAGTCAGAAACTTAAACACACTAATTGTATCATTTTGAAAAATGGAGAGAGTCTAGATATTAATGCATATAAAATTAATTTTTAGCCTCTGATAGGTTAAGACACTGCGTTCATTGGGGACATACTGTGGATGTTCTTTTAGGGCAACACCTCAAATACACTGGTTCTGTGTGACAACAACATAAGAAAATTAAAGCTTGCAAAGATGACAATGCCACTTCCATTATGAGGGTGTATTGCTACAGGAGAGAATGTTGTACTTCAAAAAATAGATTGCAAATTGGGTTGTATAGAATAGTTTATGGAGATATTAAGGAAACACCTCAAGACAGCAGCTAAGAAGTAAAAGCTTAGATGCCATTTGATTTTCTAAATGAACAATGACCACAAATAAAATAAATTAGTGAAACCACAAATTAGTTTAAGCACAGCAAAGTAAATGGTCTAAAAATAGACATCACAAAGGCCTTATCTCAGACCCTTAGAAAATCTTAGTCAGAACCTCTAGATCTTGTACGCGTAAGGCTGCCTAAAATTATGACTAATTCTGTCAGGAAGAATAGGTGATTAAACTATTGTAAACATTTGGGAAAAGGCTGTAGGATACCAAAATAATCTGAGTTTAAAAGTAATGCCAACAAATATTGGTGAAGCAGAATAAATGAACCATGCTCTCCATGACTGAATACACCTGTTGCACCCAAATAACTGCAGGCAGGGGTGGTACTGGTGTAAAAGGATGGGGGCCCTTTCAAGTGCATCTCAACATGCCTCCTAACATGTTCATATTTCTAGATCGAAATGTTGTTTTGGTCTGCAGTGTACACAGAGCAAATTATTCCTAGGTCTTGCTTCTCCTGTACTAAATCTATAAGCACTTGTTTTAACTTAGAATTTAGATCATGATTAGAGAAGCTCTCTGCTATTTGTTGGGGTGTGGTAGGAGTCTTTCCTCCCCCAGGCAGTTAGAGCACCATAGAAGGAGTATGTATTTTGCCAATTGCACGACATAGCTCAAGCATTGAAATTGTATGTACACCAGAAATGGCATGAAATTGTGCCTCTTGTTGCCGAAAGGCCCATTAAGAAAACATTGGTAGTCCCAATGACCTAAACAATAAAAACTAACTGATTTAATGATAGAGTGAAAATATAATAAAAGGTTATTTTTTCTTTTTTATACTGTGTATGTAAACATCCTGTTTCAACAGTGTATATTAGCAGTCAATGCAGTTATCCTTGCTGGTTTTGTAATTTTGTTTAATTAGCTCATAGCCTTTTGACTGTACAATCAAAACAACAGCAACAAAAAACAGCAACATTTTTACTTCAAAATATCTCAAAGGGGAAAAAAAGGGAAATAGTTTATCGTGCTACTAGAAAAAAATTGTGTTGAACACAAAAATGTTTTTTTTAATATATTACAGAATATGTAATCTATCAGGTGTGTGTGTGTTTCAGCGTGAGCGGCAAACATAAAAGAAGCAGTCTTGTGTCCTTCTGATCAGAAGAAACTTTACACAATCTTATCGGTCTTGACCCTTTACAGTCTTTTTTCTGTACTACAGAAATGCTTTTAATGTTCAGGATCTGCAGTAAATGCATTTGTACATCTCACAGAAAAAGACAAAATGTGACTCAGAAAAAGCAGAAGAGACCTCAGTGATAAATGTAGCTACAAATGTAAGGCAATCCGCTACTGCTTTTGTCTTTCAGCTGATGTCGAATGTTGAAGCAAATACCTCTGACATGGTGTAAACACCCAGTGAGTATGATCTTTAGGCTGTGTATGTATGTGTGTTTAGAGAGAAGGTGTGTGCATATCTGCTGAATCTTTGTTGTTTTCAGGTATCCAAGATGTGCCTTGGAGCTCTGTGGGAGTTCTCCTCTCCCCTTCCTTTTCCCCTCTTCACCCCACCTAAAGCTGCATACTTTCTTTTAGTCTTTCTGCGTTTCTTATCAGAGCACCACACTCTCTCGCAGTATTCCTCCACCTTCTGAGCGTCACCATAACCAATTAGCTGGAGGAACTCCTTGTACCAGAGCCTGGAATTGGGGGCTGGGACTGATGGTAGCTGAAGAGATTGGGAGCTGACGCTGGGGGCAGCTGGGGGGATAATGATGGAGTGGCATTGAGCTGCAGCTCCATCTCCTCCTTCATTCTTTGCCTTGTGCATAGCCAAGTCCAGCCTCTCTGCTCGAAGCACATGCAGGTTGATCCGTAATAATGTGTGCACGTACCCATGTTCCACAGTCTGACACACGTACACACCAGCATCAGAGCTTTTCACGTGTAAGAACAGGAGCCCGTGAGGTGTCATGATGACCCTTTCATCACCTCGAACCTGTACATAGGGAAAAAAGAAAAACATTAAGGAGATCTAGGAATGAATGGCTCTGTTGCTGCAGTAGCTCATGTCCCTTGAAGCGTTAAATATATTCTACATCAAGAGTCAAGCTGCTGATTCACTTTCTCACATCAAGTCCCGCTTTATGTCTGATGATGTTGTTTATCCTGCTATTAATCCGAGAAAAGAAAGTAAAAATATTTTTTAAAGTAAAACTTTTAAAAATCAATGCCAACAGATAGCCATGAATCTTTAGGATGGAATTAGGTCATTCAGCTCCAGTAACATTATACAGTATACTGCATATTGTATGTTCACTCGACCTCCAGTGACATAGCACAGTCAGCAGAGAAAACAACACTAAATAAATAAAGGAGCTTAAGTACAAAAATAAGTCTAAATTTAAACAAACTGTAGGTGTTCTTATCTCTGGTGCATTCCAATGTAAACATGGTATTTCTTCATTGTGCGAGGTTAATTATAAAAAATATCTGAACATCTCCAGGGTTCAGACAAGATTCAGTCGTGTTTCACTTTAATACTAACTGTCAGGATCCTGTAAAAGGAGTTTATAGTGACTCTGCATCCCGAAGATTATCGTTGTTGTAGCCAAGATCTTCCACTTACAGTTTGGAAAAAATCCAAATGCGCATATCATAAATTTACCCGTTCATTCTTGGAGGACACTAGGCATTATATTTTCCTGCATACATCAGACTTAATCATCCAAGTAAACGTCTAAGGTTTTTTTTTTTTTTTATGCACTTCTCTGACTTCCTAAGACAAAAGAATATCATACTTTTAACATACTTTTCAATCTTTTTCTTTCGCTGGTTTAGAATGTTTAACAACATACAAATTCTATATCTTTTGTCAGAATTTTCTTGAAATCAATCTAGAAATCAATCTCTTGAAATCAATCTTTTCTTCTAATTATAATGGCCCAATTTCAACCTGGAGAGATTCACACAGAGTAAAGGTGTAATTGGAAAAATGTTTTTGCAGTTTTTTTTTATACACATAACACACAGAGATTGGTAAAAATAAAAATCTATCAAAGGAAAATCAGCTGATTGCATGAAATTACGGACTCTTTTCAATCTCTCACACTGAGCATGCTTGTAGCAACAGTGGAGAAGAAAACTCACTTTTAACAGGAAGAAACCGCTAACAGAACCAGGCTCAGTGTGAGCAACCATCTGCCGAGGCCGAATGGATTTCAAGGAAACAGAAGCAAACATGCATATATTTATGTAAATTAAATACATTATTTGGCGCTTGGGCCCCAGCAGAAAACTTTGCTGCTGTGAATCAAAATTCAATTCAATGATTAACCTAGAAAAAGGATTAGAGTAGTCCTCCCCCTTGGGCCCTCCACTGGTGGTGGAATAAGACAGAGGGTAAGTGGGACTGAGAGTGAGAGGGGAGATTGAGTGGAGGTGGGGAAAAGTTTGCTTGTTTGTGGGAGAAATAAGAAGGGGATATTTATAGATAATTGGCTTTGCAGGAGATGTGGCCCTGAGATGATTGGCTGAAGCTGGATGAGAGACATCATAGGTGGTTCAGGTGAAGCTGATAAGAGTCTTCCAGATTCAAATTTTTCCATTAATATATCAAGTTTATATTAAGTTTTTTCCATACTTTATATTTCACAAAAGCAAAATCTTTGAATGTTTTGAACATTTATGTTAATGTTGATATAATACACTTAAAAAAAGAAAAATAGACAAAATGGTTTGCAGTATTTAATCTCTCATTAAAATATTGACATCCTCCATTTACAGATGCCTACAATTACATTCTAAAGCTTTAGTTGTACCGAAATATTACCCCAAAGTTAATGTATTTTAGAACTTAGTATCAGAAAATTAAATCATAAAGATTTGAGGTGAGTTGGTCCTCAGGGCTGCCCCTCTATTATTTTGTTTTCCTTTAAAAATTGAATTTTATGGCCCAGGAATAGGCTATAAAAACACTACGGACTTTATTGCTTTTCAGCAGTCAGTCATTAACAATCTCCACAAGAATTGTAAAACAAAACATAAATTTGCTGAAAACCTTAGGTAATCACAAAGTGCTTCATCTAAATATATATATATATATATATATATATATATATATATATATATATATATATATATATATATATATATATATATATATATATATATATATATATATATATATATATAAATATATATATATATGTTTTCTTTTTTTTTGAAGGTTTTAAGCAAAAGTTTCAACCAGCATGATCTGCTGCTCCTTTCAGAGGACTGTAGAATAAAACCCCAAAGTAAGGGGGAGATTCACATGGTGAGGGCTGAGCTATCAATGTTTTGGAAAAAAAACACATATAGTGTATATTGGAAATGGGCTAAAAATGTTGGTGTCTATGTATTTACCTTTTTTTTTTAAACCTGAAGTAACATCAGATAGAATAATAAACATTTGTAATACAACAAACCTTTGCAGTGATTTGCTGCTGGGGTCTAATAAAAAAGACTAGACTGTTTTTTTTGTGAACAAACATAATCTTTTCAAATGAAAGTAAAATTTGCATGCTATTTTGCAATATAGATGCTCAGAATTTAATCTACTAAACTGCAGTTTTAAGTTTCTCGAGTAACCAGTTTCCACCATGCTTCATTGTCTTTTATCAGGTCCAGTGTCAACTCTTTCCTTTTTAATGCATTCCCCTGACTACCCTCACAGTGTTCTCATTAAATCATCTGGCAGGTTCCCATCCTGCCCACGCTATTTTTTTGTTTCGTTTTTTGAAGAACTGTGCTTGAACTGCAGAGCTGACTTACACTCCACAGATTTCCTGATGAGAGACCCCCAACCCAACAACACAAATGGTTGCTATTAAAGCAACCGTAGCTTCCCTAAAACTTCTGAAAAAAAGTCAAGCTTAGCATCCCCATGCCATGTTGTACTAATACAGCTATTTATGGCAAAGGAATCGTTTTGATTTTTCTACTCTTTCTGAAAAATAGAGTTCTTGGTTTATCCTAGCCATGAAATATAATCTTTAAAGTTACTAGAGCACTTACCTTCCTTCTATAGTAAATCAGTATATAATTATGTATATCAGGAATCTGTGTGTGATTAATTTTGTAATTCATCAGCGGGAATGATTACTGTAGAGTCAACAACACAATGCAGGCTAATGTCTACTGTCTCCACTTTCTTATCCAGGAGGACCAAATCCTGCAAAGTTAATGACTCAATGCAATCAGCTGGTTATCCTTACATAGAAAACTTCTAATCTGACTGTATTCACCTAATGAATTGTCTCTGTAAAGTGCCTCAAGATGTGTTATAAATTGGTGCTATATAAATAACTGAAAAGAATTTAATTGATTCAAATACTGAATTTGGTTTACTTTTTAATTCTGAATTATACATATGTACTTGTATGTATTATTAAATAAAAGACAGGTCAATAATTCCAGCAGAACAAATTACATATGAAAAATGATGGAAAAAATAACTGGAATTTTTACTTACCTCATGTTTTTCCCCTTTTGTTTCTACAAACCAGAGAACCTTGGCTTGAAGTGATCGAGGGACACATTCCAGTAAAGTGGTGTTGCTCTCAATGCTATATATTAGCCTCTCCTCAGCCCTCTGCCATTGTTCATCTACAAACACACACACACACAATAAAAAAACTGAGGTGTAGGACTGATGGCAATGGACTGGAGCGGCCTTTCATTATGTGGCTAATGTAAAGCTGATTGTTTTTTTCTCCTGCGGATGAAATGCACTGACCTTATTGTAACCTCCAACCAAAATGGCTCATGAAGGGATTTTCTATGATTTACCACTCAATGTTTTTGATATCTATACACACATAAACACATTTCACAGTCATTTTAAGCACCAACCATCAATTTGCAGTCCATTGCACAGCTGTACGGCGTTGCCATGACGAACATCCTGTCGTCTGAATCGTCTGCTGGAAAAGAAATCCAAAGATGGAGTCATTTTTATGAAATAGCAATAGATGAAAGCAGGAGCCGAAAGGAGGGAAAGATAAAAGGAAGAAACAGGAGATCAACTGCACACTGATAGGTCTTACATAACACATCACTTTGATTTCTGTGAGTAATAATGATTTAATAAACCAAGCAGGCTTGTGATCTTTAGGGCAAGTAGATTAATTAATAATGGCATGAGCAGTTTACATTAACTGTGTGTGTATGTTCTTACCTTTTGGCGTAAACTCCAGCAGGGTAGTATCTGGAGCAGGTGAGACCATCCCAGGCACAGTATGGGTCTCTGGCTAGACAACAGTCAGCACATGCTGAACCATAAAGATCACACTGATGTAGTCTGACTTGTGCAACGCCCACTTCTGACCCAACATACAGCTGTTGCTGTGGAACCAAACATATTGATTAGTTTCTCTGGAATCAGTTCTCATCATTTTATTTTTTTCTTATCCTCATCTAACTAAGACACTGAACCAAAAATAGAGGTAGGAGCTAAAATAGGTTGGCATGCATTTCAATTGTGTTGCTGCATTGTGGCATAAATTGTACTGCTGTTGTCCTCTTGTGGAAGAACTTTGAAACTGCATATGGTAAAGCTAGTCTTACCCTTTTGGGTGATATTATGATCTCTTTGATTGGAGCAGGCACCTGGAAAGAAAATGTTTAGAGCGGGTCAAAAATAAAAATTATAAAAAAATAGGCTATTTTTTGTAGTATAAATATTCAGTGATTATATTTTTAAAATCTCATTTGAGTTAAACTTTTTTTTTTTTTTGCCATGCTTGCATTCTTCCTAAATTACGAATGAATGACATAGTAATAACCACCATTTGCAAATTAGGTTTGTTTAGTATCAGATGTGAATACTAATAGTTCTTAAATTCCAAATCATGAAAAAAAGCCAAATTATATTACAATCACTACCTCAAAACAAGATAAGTTGGAGCCAGCTAGACTTTTCCAAAAAAAAAAAAAAAAAAAAAAAAAACTTTTTCAATTCTGGCAGCCTTAATTAGAGCAATCTGTGGTTGGAGTGCAGTCCTAAAGCCACATTCTAAGTCAAAACCCTTCTCCATTGGTCTATGGAAAACTAAACTGAAAAAAGTCTGATTGCCTCCCATTTCAGCTTGTTTTGTAGATAGATAGATAGATAGATAGATAGATAGATAGATAGATAGATAGATAGATAGATAGATAGATAGATAGATAGATAGATAGATAGATAGACTGATGTTTTATTAGTCCCCATAAGCGAAGTTCAGTTGATCTGCAGCAATACATACGGTAAATGCATAGTTAAGAAAGACCGACTGTTACACTGTCTTGTACCAGGAGGAACAACAGATCCCCCAAAGTCCTCCAGTCCTCTGTTTTACAGCAAAGGAACACATCCCATCACAAAAGTGCACTTCCCTATCAACATATCCAGCCTCTTACTGTCCCTCAGGGACAATGAAAGGACAACTCCGATCTATTCCCTCTCATCCCCTCTATTCACACGCCACAATGGCTGTATCATCAGAATATCTCTGTATACGACATGTCACAGATGGTACTTATGGTCAGTATTGTAGAGTGTAAAGAGAAATAGAGACCTGGATTACTGATTATTGCACGAGCAAATAATAAACCCCTATATTTGTTTTAAATTTAGCTAATTAAAATGGAATTTATGGTTTACAAATGATGGTCAAAAAAAAAAAAAGTATTTAGTCCATGAGTATTAATAAACAATATTGTTCCTAGCCATTGACCTTTCAAGAATACTTTGGTACTTGATAAATTTTTAAATTAAGGCTGTCACTGAAGAGTTGTGGAAATTATGCTGTAAAACTTTTGATGTGACCTGATACCATCCAAGCATGGTGTAGGCACTGGGGTACAGTGCACAACTCATGCATGGAAGCCATAATCCTAAACACAGCCGTCCCGAATTAGATTCACGACCAGGATTTCCCTTCTCTCCCCTCCCACTTTACTGTATGTCTACAGTCAGTCCAAGACCTCTAAGTGCTACAAAAACGTTCAAACGGCATATATTCTAAGAACAATGTAAACAGTGCATATATTATTGCAGAAATAGATATGGTTAATCAAAGTAGATGATGTTTAATGGGATAAACTGTTACATTTTATACCAATTGTTACATCTCTGTAAATTCTGTGGAATGATGCATTTCATTCCAAAAATCATTTAATGTAGGAACATGGCACCATTCTCACATTCCTTTTGTTAACATAACTTCAACAGTGTTTTGATAATTCACTGATACAGTAACAACATTTTATGCTTTTTACAATTAAAGCCAACTGTTACTCATTATTGACTTAAAAATTAGCCTTTGCAGTTCTTTTTTACAAAACTCTCAACTTTAGGGATGTGACTTGCACTTGCTCAGCATTTGGGAAGAGTCAAATCAAAGTATTTGATGGATTTTATGACAAATTATTGATTGAAAAAGTTATTTTCTAAATGGACTGCATTACCAGCCAAAATGCATTTTACTGGCCAAACCTTTTAGAAATCAGTACCATCCTCCAAAGTCCTACACTGGACAATTTATGGCAGAGCTAAGTGGAGTTAAGAGGATAGAGGGAGAAGAGTGTGCCAGAAGGGGAGGGGTGGTGAGGGACTTGTTGGGTTGGGCTTGGAACCTGTTCATCACTGCTTGAAGTTCTGGTATGTTTTGCCATTTTAATTTTTGGAAACATTGGAAGTTTGAGGCTACAAGTACTTTTAAGGCACTTATATACAACTGATTTAAGTAAAACATTGAAATAAAAATCCGTAACTTAACTCTGTAATTGTGTAAGTGATCATAAAATTTAACCAATTTAGAGTTTCGGGCTGAAGATGTAGGTGAAAGAAAGGCTAAGTGTTCAATAAATGTCAGGATATACTTGGACTGTAATTATCCTAAATTCAAATTGGTATTTGAAGTTGCAATCGCCCGCTCCATGCATTTTACACAACAGCACAGATTAAGAGATGATTTCTTTCTTTTTGAATGATGCATGTAGTCTAACTCAAGCAACATCATTTTCCTGTAGCTTGAGGGGGACATTTCATGTAAGACACGCTTCTAGGAGAGGCATTGAGTTTCTTTTTCATTGTACAACCTGTTCTATCTTGTAGTGCTACACATGTCTCAGGAATTTGTCTGACAAATGAACTTGTCAATGAACTGCAGGTAATTAGAAAACTTTTCATCACTTCATAGTTATGTTCTATGTCGAGTCTTTGTGGCAAACTTAAGCAGTTTTAACTCAAGCACCCAGTCACATTCTCATAAAAGAAACTATGTGTTTTGCTTGCATTATAATTGCTGTCGTGCAAACCTGGTATATTGTGCCCCTGAAGAAAAAAAGGATGCCTTATTTGCATGTAACCCAAGAAAATACAACAGTCTAGTCCAGTTTATATATGTAATTTTGACATGAAAAGATTTGTATATAGATCAGGAGGTACCTTGAAAATTTGTAGCTCCTCCAGCAGCACCTCCTCTATGCTGTCTGTATCTTTGTTGTAGATGGTGATAACTTTCAAAACCAGAGAGTCATCTAATAACAGAAAACAGTTATTCTACATTGATGCTCCTTTGAATGTTTCATAACCAAATAAAATAACTATTTCTGCTATGCTTTGGTAAACTGCGTTATCAATTTATAAAACTCAAAATATCTCATACAAATAAAAATACAGAATAATACAATGTGCTTTACCAGTGCCAATGTAGAGAACATGGTAATGTCCATCCTGTGCTTGGACTCTGTCTACTGCAATTTGGGTCAGCTTTCTTCTGCTTGGCTCTGTCTGCAGGAGAATAGGTCTGTGGTGGTGTGGAAGGACTGGGCGGTACATCACAGGATGCAAACGCACAAATCGCAAAACCTCGTCTGGAAAGTCTTTTGAGTTGGAGAAGCTTCCGCCGTTCATTTTACTGGCACACTGTTAACAAGATGAAAGAATTAAAGAGAAAAGGGGAAATTTAACAGCTGAGAAAAGAAGAATAATTACCGTCAGCAGTTGGCAGTGCATGAAACAGAATTAATTAATTAATCAGGTTCAGGCTATGCCAGTATGAACTGCTGACGCAGCTGCATCAATCTGAACATTCAGAAAAGCTCATTCTTTTCAGCTTTGGACATCTTTCTTAGATGCTAACTATGTTAAATTGAGAGTGTTGAGAGTGAAGAATATGGTTTAGTCTGGCAATTTCAATAAATAGTTTTGTAAGAGATTTAAGGCTTACAGATCCAGGTTGAGGATAAGGGACTTTGCCCTCAAAGGCTGTCCAGTGATGCTCAAGTCTCTCTCTGTGGGCGAATGGTCCATTGAAAGCTGCTCTTATGTCTTCCATGTGATACATACAAACTGCATAGCCCTTAAACACAGCACTGTAGAAAAAGGTTATTATTACTAAATTTATAGATTAGGAATATACATATAATTCTGTAGGCATCTTACACTCACCTGGTTGTGCTGAAGAGGCCAAAGATTTCTGGGTTTTTTTCATCTTTCTTTGTGAGCACAAAAACATCCTCTAAAAGAAAACATGCAAAAGTGAGTTCACTGGTTCCTTAAAATATGTATTTTTCAGTGAGTCTCCATAAGTGGTTAGAACATATTGCTGTATCCTTACCAAGATTATCAAAGTGTGTGTCAATGCCGTTTGGTCCAGGCACAGAGCAGATGAGACGAGTTTTCAGAAAGGAGCTCCATCTGTTCACCAGCATTCTCTGTCCTCCTTGGTCATTCTGGGAGATGAAATCGGCCCACATTGTTATTTTCCCTGTCAGAACTGACCAAATTCTGCTTGCAAGCATTTCTACTGTGTAGGCATTCTCACCGCACACACTCGACCAATCTGGGTAAGGACCCCTCGGTTCACTCCTTCTCCGTCAGTCTCCCGCTCAGTGAAGAAGAAGTAAACTTTATCATCATCTCTGTCATCATTGTCTGGGATAACTGCTGACCCCACAAACTTAGGCTCTGTGAAACAACGTTTTATCAAGCAAATCAAAAAGCTTGGTAAGAAATGATTTAAAAATGTAGAGACTAGAACAAGCAGACCTAAATGTTTTAAGATTCATATGCAAACATCATAGTTATTACTCGAAATGTTTTATTGTGTTATTTTACAAGAAAAAAGTAGCTGTAATTTATAAGGAGTTTATATCACAGATAAATTATGATGTATGAATTCATAGTGAGTGAAAAAAAAAAAGGAAAGTCTAATGTGCATTTGTCACCCTTTTTACACAGGTATTCCAAAGTACAGTGTATTTAATTTTAAGTAAAATGGTGTTTATTTTATAAAATGTAATGAGCAGATCACCCTGAGCTGATTAACTCCACTTTTGAAACGTGGTAACTAGGAGAAGCTTTAGAGATAATGGTAGTGGTGGCCTGGTGGTTAGGGCATAGGGCTTGGAATCCTGAGGTTGTAAGTTCAAAACCCACTCCCACAGACTACCATTCTGGGTCTCTGAATAAGACACTTAACCCCGATTGCTCCACAGGCGCCCAACAATGGCAGCCTACTTCTCCCCAAAGAGGAATGGTTAAATGCAGAGAGTTAATTTCTCCATTGTGACATCAATGAAGTTCAATTTATTTTTATATTAATCAGCAGGGACAGTGGAATTTCTAAAGACTGATATAAGTGAAATTGATAAAAACTAAGCATTCCCTTCAAAGTCTTGCTAAACCATTTAAAAAACAAAGGGAAATGGAAGAGAGACAAACCACAGAAGATGCTTTGGAGCAAATATGATATACCTTTATTTAGTGGAGTGAATGTGATTTGATTATTTCAGGAAAAGATAAACTGTATGATCATTTTATAACTTTTGTATCTTGTATAAAAAAAAAACTGTATTTCTGATTACACCCTATTTTTAAAATTGAGGTAATTGTAGGTATTATTTATTATTATGATGCCAGAATTAAATAGTTTCTCCTCTTGAACTACCATGCTTTCTGAACCCATTTAATGATAATTTGGTTAGCCTCATTTAATCTATATTTCTAACAGCAAGACAGAAAGGCTCTTGAAATACCAGATGTCATTTTTAAATGCCAAAGTTGATAAAACCTGTTTTGTGGGATAAACTGGACTCTTCCTGTATTCTTCATTATAACTTAAAGGTAGTGATTAGGACTACAATTTCTTTCCTTTTTTAGTCAACCAACCATTGAGCTGCTGCCTGTCGTTCCTTTCAGTGCGAGTGTAGGTGTTGTTGTTTAGTCGACACAAGGCACCATCATTTTCCCAGTAGTCAGTGTAAAGGCCAATATAAAGCTCTCCTCCTAAATAAAACAGAGAAGGAAAGCATGCATATTAACCACAAGGTGGCAGTATTTACCCTTAAGAGGCAAAAGAGTTGAAATTGGGCTGTATTGAAAGTGCTTGTGTTTTCAGCTCTGCTGATGATTAAAACAATGAGTTATATCTTACTGCGGAGTGTTGAAATACAGGAACTGTTGGGGTCATATGGACAGCGTCCCTTCCCACTCATAACACTCTCTTGTTCAAGAGCAAACGTTGTTTCCTAAAGCAAGGCACAAACAGACAATATAAGCTTGATAATTTCCATGAAAATGTGCACATCCTAACTGAGGCCAACCCCTGAAAGGGATGCAGGCCTTACGTTAACAAAAATTATTCAAGGTAGAAAGATGGTAGGGAAAAAGGAAAGAAGGTAGATGGGAATTTAGGTGATGGATGACCAAATGGGCAACTGTCAAATAAAAGTGTTTATCCAGCTTCACTCTGCTCTTTTATTGCTGTGGGATTCTTACTCCCACTCATCTGCAGTGCAGACAGCACAAGTGCACACAGTTACACACAAACACACTGACACAACTCATATATTGTGAGCCACCACAAAAATCTTGAGTAGTTACTGGTATTCCAGTGGTGCTATGTCACATTCTGTCTTGATTTAGGAAGCGGCTATGGAACCCAACTCTGCTGTATCTATATAGCAACTGGTTAGTTTTTCTCCTAAAGTCATTCTTTGTGGATGCTTATCTGTTAAAGGTAAAAGTAAACCTGACAGACCAACATAACTTAATAAGAAATTATGTTTGAAAATTAAGAAAAAAAGTAAGATTTTTTTTTTTTTTTTATCAAATCATATGATGAATTTATACATTATATGCATGTATGTAAGATTTGGAGTTGTTTGGAATAGTCAGCCACAAAGACATAGTAATGCTGAGCAATGAGCATTCTTGAGTGTAATAATGGCTGAGTCTTGTTTCTGTCTTAAAGCTGCTGTCAGCCTATTTGACCTCTTGTTCAAGTGTTAGTGAACATATTTTACATCTATTCGTTATCCAAACAACCAAATTCAAATGTGTTAAAAGGTGTCATACTGTTTTCATGCATGCTTGTTCTGATGTATGTATGCAGCTAAGTTTGGTTGCATACACATATGCATTAATGACAAGCAATAAGTTTTCACATTCTGATTTAAACATGCATTGAGGTTCTCTACCCTGAAACTTTGTCCCTCTTTAAAGGGAACAGAGGTAAGTAGGAACACCACGGATACATCTAGAGGATACTGCATGTGCAATGTCCAATATTGCAACAGTTCAAGATGTGCTAAGAATTTTGAAAGGCTTTGGCTGAAAGATAAATAAAACGTTGGAGCTATAGTTCAAGCAGTATAATTTCAAATGTTGGCTACATTTACGATGAGGACTTGAAGGTGTTCTTTGGACTAAAGCTAAACTGACTGTTAGTCTTTTGCTTTAGGCTCAAGTTCAAAAAGTAAATATTCAAAAGAGTATTTCAGACTTTCTTTAAAATGGCTCTGTGAAAAAAAAAAGCTGCTGTGACATTATTTCCTATTTTTCCAGGAATAAAAAACAGGTAAAACAAGTCCTGTTCTGTCTTTAAAGTGACTAAGTTGATTTTAATTATTTCATTTACTAGAGGACAATGCATTTTGCATGTAGACATATGTTTGGGATTCAGAGTGTACAGCTGTATTAGTGCCAAAAGACTTAAACACGTGTCTCTGTTTTACATCAAATGATCCTATGATCTCCAGGTAACTACATTTATCTGCTCAAATTAGAATCAGAGTCCCATGGTTTCTGTAGTAATTTTTCATTTATGCATCATCATTGTGGCTTGAAATCTTTTGACTTAAATCGACAGACAGACAGACAGACAGACAGACAGACAGACAGACAGACAGACAGACAGACAGACAGACAGACAGACAGACAGACAGACAGACAGACAGATAGATAGATAGATAGATAGATAGATAGATAGATAGATAGATAGATAGATAGACTATATATAATACCATCTGACAAAAAGTTTAGAGTATTCCGTTTAATAACCAGCGATTTACTATGTGCTTAAGGTGGTGATACTTTATGGAGTGGGTGACCTTTCCAACAAGGCAGCTGCATGGCTGAACCACAGCAATAGGTAACAGTCCGCCATGAGGCATCTACTGTTTATATATGTCTATGTTTAACTATACCTTTTCAATCTGTTTCTTACTGGTCTGCTACAATGGAAAAAAGCCTCTGCGAAAAATCAGTTATCAGGACACATGATACAAAAAGGATCCTTTCAAATATCTTATCTCTAAATCAAACTTTGTCTCCTTTTCATCACTCACCTGTCCTTTGTGTCCCACTCTGACCATGGCACAGACAGGATTAAAGGCTCCTGTTCCACAGACCAGCAAATGAGTTTGGTTGTATTGCTGCAAGACTTTAATATAGTTTGCACATTCAGGCTGTTGAAATAGAGATATGAAACATATAATAACAATTGTGGTATAGGTGAGGTGTGGGCTGCAAAAAATACATTGCCATAATGTGAAAATACTAAAAAAAGACATCAATTGCATGATCAGTAATATCTATAAGTCATAAACAATAGTAAGAGTCTATATTGAATCCAGTCCAATCCAGTTTTATTTGTTAAACACTTAAAAACAACCACATCTGACCAAAGTGCTGCATAGAAAAAATAAATAAATAAAACATAAAACAGTGCAGATAAAAAACAAAGCAGCTAAAACATGGGTAAAAATAACATTCACAAAATCAAATATATAAAATTGGGTAAATGATAAAATGAATAAAAGATAAAAAAAAAAAAATACAAAATTAAATAAAGCCTACTCTCTTGCTAGGTGTTAAAACCCGAAGCAAAAGGGTGGGCTTTGAGAAGCGATTTAAAAACAGTCAGAGAAGAGGCCTGTCTGATGTGCTGAGGCAGGTCATTCCAGAGCTTTGAAGCGCCGTCCCCTCTGAGCTTCCGCTTAGTTTTAGGCTCTAGTGGGTCTATAACGACTAGAAGCTTAGAGAGGTATGGTGGGGCAAGACCATTCAGGGATTTAATAGCAAAAAAGATCATTCTAAAATGAATTCTAAAATGCATGGGCAGCCAGTGGAGTAAGGCTAAAATGTTGGAGTTGTGCTCATACTTGTGTGTGCCAGTTAAAAGGGATGCTGCATCATTTTGAACCATCTAAATTTCTCCATGATATCAATAAAATCAATCAATCTGAATACAGGAGATGGAGCAGGCACTAACCCCCACATAGAGGGCATTGAAATAATCCAGCCAAGTGGCATGGATTACCATTTCAAACTGTTGCCTTAAAAAAATGGCCCTTCTTTTGGCCAGTTGCCATGAATAATAATAAAAAAAATTTGATTTAAGAACTGCCCTGATCTAGCTTTCAAACTTTAGATCTGCATGCAATATTATATGCTGGTCCAAAGAGCCAAGATCTATTCCAGTGGTGTCACCAAAAACTAAAAACTTCAGTCTTTATTTCATAAAAATATAGATATCCAGGCCTTATTGTATCAAGACACTTGATTAAGGCAGTGATAGACTGATATATATCATACAGATATTATATAATGAGTTATATCTAAAGAGACTTAATGAGCTACTTATACTCTAAACATCTACTGCGTATATATAAAATCCTTCAACCCAGGTAATTTTACAGATTCTGAAAGTTAGGTTAATAAATCTTGATAACTTCAAATTTGCCTTTACAGTTTAGATAGCTGGTCACAGCCAAGTCCAAGATGAAGACATATTTATCTCTTTAATGTGTTTTATGACATACCTTTTCCCTACCCTTCATCATGCACTCCTCTATTTGAAATTCAGTACTCCCCCAGTTAATCTGAAAGAAAAGCAGATTCTACGTTACCAAAAGATGTGATATAAACAAAGTAAATTATTAAATTTTTAGCTGTACTTGGGCATATAACCTGAATTCTTGCAAAGCACTGTTTTACTGTATCTTTTATAAGATATAAATCCTTCAAAATGTAGTCATGCATTGTAAATGTGTTCATGAGAGTAACAATTTTGTACACACTGGTCTTGTTTTGATTTATCGCCTAGGATTTTAGAAACTAAACAAACAGAAACTGAAAAAACCCAGCGTACCTGTCTATAGTGGGCATTGACCCTGTCCAAGTTAAGGGAGAACAAAGCATTCTTGGCACCAACATAAAGTCTTTGGTGGCTCTCATCCAGCAGCATGGTCTGGGGCTGAAGAAGCAATCCTTGTCCCTGGAAGATCCAGGTCCTGTTCATCTGCAGAAGCTCTGCATAGATATTCAAACAGATTAGTGTTGCAACATTTTTATTGTATTTGTCGGTAAGCGTGCAGCATACTACAGTCATCAACAATTTTCAGTGCTATTAAATGACAATTCATCCTTAAATATTCCTGAAATGAATTTATCATTTAGATCAAATAAAGTTATTCTTAAACTGAATGTTGAATGATTCCTTCAATATATAGCTGGATAACATTATTGATGTGACAATAATCTACACCTCTTTGAAGGACTTATGTATAAAAGTCTGAGAATTTACATTTTTTAAATGTTATTAAAGTATTTAGTTTTTCTTTTCTTTCCAGTGCTGTGCATAAGTATTTTAATTAGATATTTGAGAGGCACACCACTGCAGGGGCATGGCACTGTCATTTTTACAAACCATGCCAGATGTGCACACCTTTAAGTTAATTTGGCCAGATTTGTTTCAGTCTTTTTCATAAAAAAATGATTTAATTCAAAACCTAAAACAATTTAAAGTTTCAATTCATTATTTGATTTTATTTAATTTTAGAATGCCTGACTACTGGTTGTAGAAATATTTGAACACAGTTCATTATTTGCTTGATTGACAGTATTGTTGCCAGTATTGTCTTTGGTGTTCTGTCAAAGACCAAAAACAAAACAAAAACAATCCTAAACCTAAAATCAGTGGATTTAATACCTAAACTTAATGTAATACCTTCAGTTTATCCTCGCCCCTGAGGGCTATCCCCCTCATTCAAATGTTGGCAGACGAGAAACCCAAACCTCAGGTCAGCGGATTTAAATTCACATCCCGAATTTCCTTTTGGGATAAATTTCAACTTCAGGACGGACTTCCGGTGTGCAGTTCTGGCTTTGAATGTAAAATGGTGGTGACCTGCCCCCACACAGAACTGTGGAGAAATCTACACAGTTTTTGATAAGATCAACTTAGCTGTATTTTTTGTACTACTCTTTATGGTAACGAAGGAATTTAAAGGAATTTACTCTCTTGGAATAGGATTTTATGTGTGCACTTTGATAAATACTGCTTCTGCCCACATAGGCACGGAAGTAGATGTTCTTTAATGTTCTGTGAATCTTGCAAAAGGACTAGTCAGAGTATAATGATGAATTTATAAGCAAAAAAAAAGTTATGTAAATGTGTCTTATGACAAAAATGGACAGACAGACAGACAGGTAGAAAAAGAGAACTGATAGTACTTTTTTTAATTGCTAGCCACTCCAAGTGTGTTTGTGACTAATATCTTTATGTTTAATCTTCCTCCTTGAATGTTGCAAAAACGTCTCGTATTTCTGAACTTTGCTTTCATCACGCTAAGATCAAAGCAAACCTTAAAAGCATCAATAAATAACTTAGAGGTTGATTATGAGCTGTGCCCGTGGTTCTGTCATTGCAACGGCAGGACATCATTCTTGGAAGATGTTGTATATTTGATTTACACTGGTCTCGTCCTCTGGTCTTTTTAACTGTGAGGAAGCCCTTTTATCAGGCAGGAAACTAAACCAGTCTCTTTTGCAGTCATTAGTTTAGATCTACTGCCACTCCCACTTAGAAATGGAGGCTGTTGCCCATTGGAGACATGTCGTTAAACATGAACACATACTCCTCAGAACAACAACAGAAAAAAGTATTAAGTTAAAAGTAATATATAATTGCCTTTTTGTTTTCATGACTGAATTAAAAAAACTTGTTCTCCCTATACCTTCTGACTTTAAGCATCGTAAAGGTTGAGGGCGAATAACATAAACTAAGCTTTAATCCATTGGAGGGATCTCCTTCCGCTGGGTTGAACTGCCCTAAAAAGACTTTCATTTCCTCATGATGAGGCCAGACTCAGTTCCCTCATAAAAGAAAAAAAAAGGGAATCTGGTGTGTGTTAGAAGTTCCTGTAAGACCTCAGGTATAATAATCGCCACAGGCCAGAATGGATGGAGCTGGTTCATTTTGGCCTCCTTTCATGAACTTGGGAGATATAAGTAATGTTTAAGAAAATGAAACAAGATTCATCTTCTCCTTAAAAAAAAGGTTGATGTCCTGTTGTGCAGTGTTGAAAGGCAAAATTCTTTGATTTGTTTTTTTTGGGGGGGTTGTATATTTTTCTGATACATGATCTGTGGTATAGATGGAGAAAATGTTTATTCTAATTCTGTAGATCAAGCACACCAACAACTCTACTCTCGTTGGAGACGTTTATTTGTTTAGAATCGGATTAGGTATCCACAGACGAGGAGGTGACTGTGTATATTTTGTTGCTAATAAGATGTCAGAGTTGGAGACTAGCAACTGTTTGTTTGAGTTGCAATAGGTCTTGGGTGGTTAGGAGGTATAGAGAGAGGGGATGTGGCAGTTGTATTTTGGCAGGGCTCAGACATATTTCCTGTAATTATCAAATTCACACACACACTCAGCATGCACACACAGATCAGTTCTCTGTCTCTCACACACAGATGTCTCTGTTTTAAACAGTGGACATAACTCTTAACTTTGGCTCTCAAACAAATATCTTCTTGTCTTTGAAATTCGAATTTGCAAGAATTTATTAAAATGTCGGATATAGATGACTATTTAAAAAGCTGAAGTAAATAGACTAGAGTCAAATCTGTTTTTTCCTTTCCATATTTTTGTCAATCAAAATAAGAAGTTGATTATTAGTGTGGAAGGCTCAGACCTCAAAAGAAAGAAACAAACCAAGAAGGAAGAGTAGTGCATATTTTTTAAAGAAAGTTAAAATTTTCCTATTAAAATAATTATAGGCAATCAATTTAACTAAAATGCAAAAGGTAAATCTTTTGATTACACAGCGAGACTCAAGGATGGTTCAGAGCTGTAGTTTAAAATTTCTGCTCTGTTATTATCCCAAGCAGCCTTTGATCAGAGTAAATAAGAAAAAGGGGGATTTCCAATTTCCCCATTCCTCTGTCTATTTCCTGTCATTTGTACCATCTTCAGCCAGTGAAGGCTCTTGTGCCATGTGCTGAAGAGACTAAAAGAGGAGGACATTTTTTTTCATCAGAAACTAATCCAGAGAGACACATGGCCTCACTCTTATCCGATTTCAAAAGGAAATCAAGGAGAAAAGGGGCTGCCTCAAGACAGACACATTCAACAGCTGTCTGCAGAGCACTGACGGATACTTGGGTAGATTTAACAAGCAGTTAACTTAAAATAAACATTTTCATTTCCATGTTAAAATCGGAATGTAGTGAAACTGTTCTTTGCTGCAATGCTTGAGTATTTGCTCCTCAGCAGCATCTCAAGGTACAATAAAACACACAAGGGAGATTATAATTTTTTAGGACCTAAACTCATTATATCTTTTCCTAAACTGCATGTATGCATATGATTTTAGATTTTAGGATATAATTCCTGTGGATAGAAAAACATGCAAACAAAATATGGAAACTCCCCAAAAAGATATAAAGATATTCAGAGTTCAGAGTAAAAAAACTTCTTGCGACTAGGTTATAACCATCAAAACCGCTGCACCACCCTTCGTGATTATCATTCCACGGATACCTTTGAAGCACAATTAATTTGCATTACTACCTTTTGGGAGGGTTTTTATGTATGAAAGCCATAAAATATAACTTGATTTAGTTGTTTTTAGACTTCCAGCTAAATGTGTTCTCTAAATATTCTTCCCCATTGAGTGTGGTGACTCATCTTGGACCACAAAAGGATTGACAGGGTTGATGAAGTGTTTGAAGGTACAAATAAAAGTTAGCAATCCCTGCCCTGTTCCTTGGAGGTCTAATTGCAGCAAGAGCTGCAAAGCTCATGAGGGTATAGCTGGAGACCAAGGGTGGGAGGTGGGGTGTTGTGGCTAATTCTTTTTTAGGGATTTTGTTTTTGCATTCTCTTTGGCAAAGGGAAGATTATGTCATATCTTGAAATGAAAGCCATATGGAGGATCAGTGAAATGGAAAACTCAGTTTTTTTCTTTTACTTTATATTACTACAGATGTTAAAAATCAAGAAATTACCCTATCATTTTATCAATCATGTATTCCTACTCACATCATGGTTTTATTTTTAACATGCATTGCTTGAAGACTGATAAAATGTGCTATATTTTTCTCAACTAATTATTACCAGTTCCTCTGCAATCAATTTATAGAAGTATTTTACTGATAAATCTATTGTTATTATCCGATTCCTTAACTAAATGCACTTCCTGATCATCAGCTGTTTCTATATTGTCTGTGGTTTAATTTCAGCTGTAGTCAAAAGTTATTTATGCCACTAGCAGATTTAGGTTACTTCATCTTTTGTTTGTTTTTTTTTATTATTTTATTTCTCCTAACGAAAAGCATTTTTTTGCAGCCAGGGTGCTACCCTGAATCTTATTAGAGATTTTTAAAATAAGTAACGTGGGCTTATTATAACAGATAAATTGTCAGTAAAAGGAAAACATGCAAATTTGGCTTAGGAATTATTTTAAAAGTTTGATAACTGAGTTGGAAATATTGATTTTTTTCTATTTATTATTGAGAAAAATGTACAAAGATGTATGTCATTCATAAAAAATTTTTCTTTTTCAAAATTGACTTTTTTTTGCATTTTTAATCGTCTTTCAAGGGAACTGCCTCTTTCAAATAAAATTACTACTTAGAATTGAAGGCTGAAGATAACAAAATAGAGGCACGTGATCTCGCCCTAGAGCAGTGGTTCCCAAAGTGTGGGGCGCGCCCCCTAGGGGGGGCGCAATGCCATTGCAGGGGGGGCGCGGGAAGCGGTATGGATGAATGAAGAAAAAAAAAAAAAAAAAAAAAAAAACAGCGCTTGCTTGACTGAGCATAATGGACAGTTGTGACACTGCAACCCAGATTTGAGAAGATCTACAGCAAAAAGCAGGCTCACTACAGCCACTGAATGAGATGGGAGGATTAAAGTACAAAGAAAAAACTCTCAGGGAGCTGTTAAATGTTTTCACTCCATTTTGCACAGAGGCTTTTTAATGTATAGATTATAGCAAAGTTAAATATTGTTACAAATA